ACAGGTTTAGCAGCGATTGCCACTTTCTTGTTGTTCTTCGACTTTCCCATTGTCAGTTTTGATGCAAAAAGGAGGAGCGAGTTTCGTTTTGCTACAGAAAAATCGTGTAGGCGAAGTACCGAAAGTGGTGTTTTGAGGACCCGGAGATGCGTGTTGTTTTTGTATTTTTGTTTTTTCGGAATATGGAACATGACACGCCAAGACAAACGAGACCGCATTGAAATGGAGCAAAAGGCAGTGGGAGTCATGCTGAAGCAGAAGGAATACAAGGAAGATCTTATTGCTGATCCAAGAAAGGGTAAACGAGGAAAGAAGAAGCCAGTGGCCAGCCGTGGAGCTCCCCGCTCCACGGCAGGGCCATGAGAGGCCCTCAGTCGTCTGCCGCTTGGTCAAGGCGTGCAGGCAGAAGATCCTCACTCAGTGGCCCCTCGACTGATGTCCCCCATGCATCAGTTGAGGAATTTTTACGTTCTCTTCCTGCCAGTGACTTCTTTGGCGATGACCATAGATGCCATCTTTCTGCATCGGCTCGCCTGGTCTTCCAAAATGTCAATGGCCTCCTGGCCTCTTCGACAGGGTGGAAGCAACTACAGATCAATCAGTGGCTGAAAGAAGAACAAGTGGGAATTGCGTTGTTGGCCGAGACCAACACGCACTGGCCTTCTCTACCTGAAGGTCAGAACTGGAACGATAGGATGCGGCAAGTTGGGTCCAAGGGGTACTATTTCACGACGGCACACAACAAGAACCGCGCCCGGCCAATTGCGTCTTGCTCCCAGTATGGTGGATGTGTTGCAACCGTCTTGAATTCAGTTGCACATCAAGCCAAGTCATTTGGCAGGGACCCGTCTAAGCTGGGAAGGTGGTCGTACGTGCGCCTTCGAGGCAAGAAGTTCGCGATGCCATCCTCGGATAACCAAGTCAATGAAGCTGCCGACGCGTCGCAGAGCCAGTTCTCTAAAGATCTGGTGGTTGTCGCCGTGTACAGGCCCAACCCCCCGGGAAAGGGCGAATCTACGGTATGGGCGCAACACCGCAGCTTCTTCTGCTCACAAGGCCGACAGCGTGATCCAAGGGAGGCGTTCATGGTGGACCTGTTACAAGCGATCACTCAATGGCATGACAAAGGGTGCAAAGTGATTGTGGGTGTGGATGCTAATGCCAGGATTCCTCTTTTTGCCAGTGCCTTTGGGGCATAGGATTGGAGGAAGCAACCCTACAACGTCATCCAAGTCGCACTGCAGCAACCCAGCATCGCAACAAACGTGGCAGACCCATTGATGGGATTTTTGCAACTTCCGGAGTGGTGATTAAAGTGGGTGGTTACTATAACTTTGATGAATTTTTCTCCTGTGATCATGGCATCGTGGTCTGTGGATTGATATTGATTTGGAACGGTCTCTTGGCAGCCATCGACCAGAGAAGACACCATATAAGCCTCGCAAATTAACGATGCTTGATACTGCGGCCGTTTGACGCTACCTCCGGCTGGTTCACCAGGGCTATGACGTGTACTCCATTCCATCGCGGTTGGAGCAGCTTCATAGACAATTAACATTAAACAGTGGGATTATGACTGAGAAAATGGGGCGCCAGTATAACTGCTTGCACAAGCAGATGTACGATATTGGTCGGAAAGCGGAAGCGAAGTGTCGAAGGGTTCCGAATGGGGCTGTCCCGTGGTCTCCTCAGATCCAAAACTTTTGGGACCGCCAGTCCCTCTGGAAGCTACTGCTGAAGGGAAGGAAGCAATGTCAAGTTAGCTCGCGGAAAATCCGTCGCCTTATGAAGAAGACTAAGTTGCCCGACGCCTGGAAGGAGACTGCGGTCGAATTGGAGAATGCATTGCGTAATGACAGGAAAGAGTACTTGCATGCCAAGAAAAACCACGCGGTTACATGGCGCAAGGAGTTCTTGACTATTCAAGTAAAGAAATCTAAGAAGAAACAATGGACATCGCGCAAGGCTAGAGATTGGTTTTTGAGGTTACGGCGGATGAAGCAACGAGAGGAGGCGAGACGCCGCCGCCGCGCCCAGTCAAAAGGATCTACTGGTGGTTTGCAAGCGATTCAAGTTGAGGAGCAGTTACCTACCGGACAAGTGGACCTTCAAACTCTCACTGACCGGAGACAAGTTGAGCAAGGGTGCATGCAGGAAAACCGTGCACGGTACGATCAGGATCGATCGCCCTATACTACTCCTCCCATGGACAAACCCCTGTATTCGATGTTCAACGGGGCCGACGCAGAGAGGAACTCGTACGCTCTACTGGAGGGCCGCCTTCCGATGCCGGATGGGATCGATTCCTACACTCAGTCATTCTTGGAGCAGTGCCGGTTTCATCAAGGGCACTCTATGACCCTGATGGAAGTGTCGCCTGAAGATCATACTTACTTCTGGTCTCGTAATCCAGAGAATAAGGGCTCAAAACCGCACGGGCTACATAACGGACATTTCAAGGCTGGTATCTATTCTCCTACGGTGGCCCAATGCGACGCTCTCTTCCGTCACATCCCCTTAAGCGAACTACAAGAAACTGGGCCGCCTGGCCATGGCCTACGATGAAGAACATCACCTACTGGCCGATGGTCAGTGTGGGTCTCAAAAGAACCATCAAGCGATTGTGTTGGTGAAATGGGATCTTAACAAATAAAAGAACAGTCGAACATGTCGGACAGTGAAGTCGGACATTCGTGATATCGAACACGGACGGGAGTACGGTTCGAGTACTTACAGAGATGGATAA